TTTGCTTCATCTCTAAAGACATGCTGCTCTTTAATATTGTTTATTTACTGTCTTAGTTGTGTGTGGTGTTTAATTTACATTTTGTTGTTCTTTGTTGTTTTTTTTTTTATTCAAGTGCATTTTTTTGTTAGAGACTGAGAGTCCACTTTGTTAAACATTCTTTTAAAAATGAAAGTTTGTTGATTTATTGCACTTACATATTATGCTTTTATAATTATTAGTTGTAAAACGGTCACCAGGCAATATTATCGTTTATCGCAATAAATTTTGAGACAATTAATCGCCCAGCAAAATTTGTTATCGTGACAGGCCTAATTATTATACAGGCTTGGTTTCTTTAGGTGTTTTTATTAATCCAGTGATCTCTTTGGAAGATTTTCTAAAACACTTCAAAAGTCTTTAGTGTAAAGTAAATTAATCCTGACCAACATGAGTGTCAAAAGCCCAGAAAAATCATGCTGCGTTCGATAAACTGAAGTGAAGAGTTGTTGTTTTTTTTTTTCACTTGACACCTGATCCAACAAGAGGACACAAAACTACTTCCTTCCTGCATTTGCTGTGTGAACTGCCTTTTTTCTAAGAAGTATTAAAAGTTTAACTTTAAGTTGTAGGGACCTAATTTTCACAGACAATACTACATAAAACAGCACCTTGTTACTCTGTAAGGGGCCTGGAGCACTCACAAATCAAAATACTCCAAATTGCAGACACCATTTTAAAGATGAAATGTGAATGTAAAATCAAAATACACCAAATAAGGTTAATTTCACCAGAGAGATATGATCATATATTCATATATTGCAAATTAAATGGCAGACTCCTGTAGTTTTTATTTTAAAAAATCAGCAAACACTTTCTACTATCATCATTTTGTGTTCAAAAACACCCCCAAGGCCGAAACTCTTAAGTGAAACACTACAGCAAAGTCCCTGTAGAAACTATAGGCACGTTCCAAGTTTTTAATTCCTAGCTCAATTATTTTGCAGTGTAACATAATCAGTAGGTGTTTTTGTATGTATCAATCCAAAATCCTTGCTTTAATCCAGCATAACAACTGAGATGAATTAGCTGTTTAACATTCTTTGACTCACCTAAACTGTAACACCACTGAACAATGTCAGATTCAATATTTAGCTTAAAAAAATAGCAAAATGAATTGTAAATCTACAAACTGGGCTTAAAAGATTAAGCCTAACATTTCTCCTGACAAAATAAAACTGACTGCTTTTCTCCCTGTTTTAGTCTGCAACAGAGTCACAGATTATTCCCTGAACTTTTTCAAGCGCTGCGGGAGCATCTGTCAGATCGACCTTCGCTACTGCAAGCAGGTGACGAAGACGGGCTGTGAAAGGTTCATTGCAGAAATGTCTGTGAGCGTACCGTTCAAACTGAAGGAGGACAAACTGCTGCAGAAGACCAGCTAGTGGCTAACGAGACACATTAACAGACTGTCTTTGCACTTAAAGGAAGTGGTCCTGCGATGAGTCTCTGAATCACTCGTCATAAACTGAAGAAGCAGACGTTTCTGGAGAGATTCGTTCACTTATGAGAGGCGATCAATGTTCACTGGACAGAAAGAGGAAATGGGTTGCATGTATTTCTGTTGAAACCGTACTTTTATAAAGATGTGGTCGTAACTGTTGAGTTATGTTTATTCTTTTAAATTTTAAATAATATTTTTGTACAAGCATCATTCGAAAGCTTTTTGTTTTCGCCTCAGGAGCTAAATGTAGACTTTACAGCATGAGAAACAAAAATATCTTTTACTTTGTTTTATTATTTTTTTGTTTTGTTTTGCTGTTTTAACTGCGTGCCAAAATCTGCATCGAACATTGTCACTTCAGTATCAGATCACACAAACACGACCCTGCATGTGCTGTGGTTTTATTCTATCATTTTTTTAAAATACTCAGTATAATTCAGTGATAATGAAATGATTTCATATTACTGTTACAAGGTTGTTTTACTTTTTTTTTTACTTTTACTTTTGACTGTTTAGTTTAATATGGTTTGCATCAATATTTCAACATTAATTTATTGATTTTTGGTGTTTTTAATAGTTTGTATTTATTCATTTATTCAGTAACTTGACGTAGGTGTCTTACATGGTTGAGTCAAATAATGCCTGTGAATAATTTATCGGGGAGGGTTCAAAACCCAAGTCAGTCGCAAGACATTGCAGCAGATTGTAATACTGACTTTTTTTATACACATCTGGTTATCTATACTGGCATCTTTGACCTTTTCAAATATTTACGTAAATTTAAACATATACATCATTTATTAGGTGTTGTATTATGAATATTGTGATGTAATCTATTCCCTCAGGTGAATGTGATGTTTATATTTGTAAAAAAAAATCCAAAAATTAAGTGCTAATTTGCATAAAAAAAACTTCATTTATATCATTGGGTTTCAGTAAACTGTCTGAACAAAACTCTTCAGTAGTGTGTAACTCAGAGATAAAGAGTGACCAGTTGTGGATTTCAGTTCATTCACAGCAGTGGGTTTATCAGTCCACTGCTTCGGTCAAGACTTAAATATTTCCTAACGTGGCACTTTTTATAAAGCATCAGTCATTGGAAACAAATCTTTCCTATTCTATAACCACTACAGCAGCTGAACAGTCGCAAAGCAAGACGTGTCAGAGGAAGTCCAATTAAAGTCCCTGGACAAGTACAACTTGAACATTTTAGAGCCTGGTTGACAGAAAATAAACGTTTGCAATAACTGCATTGTCTAGTTTGATTTTATTTTTAATGCAAAAAGCATTTGTGTCTGACATAAAACTTAAACCTCCCATAACTCATTAACATGGAAGTACACTTTCATACTTCTTTCAAGATGTAGTATATTTTCCCCTCATACTACTAAAAATACAACCAGTCCAGTTCAACCAAATATGGAGATAAACCTGAACAGTCATTTGTAGCGCTTCATTGCTAAATTTGTACCTTAAAGAAACGAAACAGATTTTACTTAAAATCTTTATTCATGATATAAAGTTTCACATTCCCAAATACAAAGACCATGCCTTGCACACAATTGTCCCCACTCTAAACAAAAAGTGCAATCGGCTCCCCTACTCTGTGATTGTAGAGAACATCATGACAGCAGCAAGTGGTAGAGACAGAGGAGGGGTGGGGGCTTCTGACCAAGCTTATTAGTGGGAGGGAGACCAGCTGAGTGCTCTTTATGAAGACAGGAAATGTAGGAAGGTAGATGAAATGTTAACTGTAATGCTCGTCATGCCGTGGTTCAAACAGAACAGTGAGCTCAAGCAAATTAACACGTTTTTAGTTACTACAAGAAAAAATAAATAAAAAAAATACAACCCTATAAAAATAAACAAGCCCAATCCCCGGGATACTTTAATCTGAACCACACAATTCAAATTAAATTAAAAAATATAGATATATACATCTGATACGGATCAATATATGTACATTAACAAGTGTTATCTTGATATACTTTCTTTACCACACATCGCTGAATATGTGACTCCTAAAAGAGAGAACTTAAAAAGCCTTAAGACACTTTGTTCCACGACCAGTAAAACAACAAAAAAACACAAAAAACATTCGGTTTCACATCCAAAGTTAGAAAACAGGGACGATGGTTGGATGAGTTAGCACCAGATTTTGTCTTCAGTCTCCAGTAGGAGCTGGGACCGGACAAAGGTGACAGCGGAAGTTTAACTATTGCTGCGACAGACTTTGAGTGATACGTTAAATAAATAATATTAATAAAAAGCACAACGCAGATCAGCAGAATTATTGCTGCATCAACCTTTATATAATAATCACTCGCCAGTTTCCTTCAATAAGTGCAGAGCTACTCATTCAGAGGCAACGGAAATCAAAAGCTGGAGTTTCTAATTAGCCTCGCTACGCTCAGACAATCAGGAAGCCACGCGTCGCCTCAGCCACTATTAGTGTTGTAAGTGATGATGGTGCATTAACACAGTGATTTCTGATCCAACAGGCTGAAAGACTGATGACGTCCTCAGAGCTGATGAAAACACTGAAAACAGGTGACACATAAGGCCCAGTATTTGGCACCTACTTTATTCACATGTTATACCCTGGGCTGAGGTTGTGCATGAGGTTAGGAGACGTTACTGATATGCAGTTACTTGCAGCAGTTGTAAAGAAAGGCGCTCCTGTGGGCACCCAGCAGAACTGAGTACCGGCTACAGCTTATAGGCAGTAATGAGGATGTGTTAAATGAGCTTGTTCACACATTCTTGACTTTGTTCAAATTAAAAAAATATAAAAGGAAAGACTCAAAGACAAAGTATGGTCCTAATCTGCCCACTGATGAAATGGGATACTGCGCAAATAATATAAAACCTTCAGGGACGAGGAGTTTGTGAGTGACAGAGTTTGTGAGCTGCATTACTGAGTTGAAGGTTGCGGGGAGGGAGCGGCGCCATGTTAGGACTTAAAGACGTGCACGGCCCTGACCACGTACTGCCTGCAGATCGGACACTCGCTCATCCGCTTGCCGCACTTGGTGCAGGTGACCATGTGGCCGCACTCCAGGAGCACGCAGTCGATCACGGCGTCCATGCAGATCCTGCAGAGGCTGTCGTCGTGAGCCGTCAGCGGGCGGTTCTCGCCGTCTGCGAAACGGAGGAGAAATAAAAAAAAAAGGGAGGTGAAACGGACTCCGCAGCGCCTGCTGAAGCATCCAGATGCTTTACATTCCTCTGCATCAGTGGAAGCATGCTGCTCGGAGGGGATGCAGATAAAAGGGGAGCTAATGTTTACTGAATATTTGAATACATTCACTTTTTCCTCGATAAGGACCATTTCACATTTACAGGGACCACAGGGTTCCTACAGTTTAAGGCAAGTTAAATTTAAGACTTTAAGACTTTTTAATGCCAAGTGAAATCAAATTTAAGACCAATTTCACAATAAACACAAATGACAAAAAAATAAATAAATAAAAAAATAAAACTGGCAGAAAATCATGAATTCAAGTATTTTTGGTTGAATTATTCAAATATTGCTAATAGACCAATTGTTTTTATCAATATCTAACTGCTATTTTGTCAAACATAGCAAAAAAAACATTCTTAGCAGTCAGTTTTAAACTTAATTTAATTTCTGGAAATCCTCTAATGACCCAAAATTTGTAGCTTTATGACCCACAGTGGGTTCTCAACGCCAGCTTGCTGCAAAGTGCTTGTGACATCAACTTTTTGTAAGAAAAGTGAATGCATTTTTAACATTAACATACAGTATTAGAAAATGAATTTCACATTGCTCATATGGACAGTTGTTGAGATATTTGCATTTAAAATAACAGGAAGTGATGTCAAAGGGAACATCTGAATGGGAATATTTCAAAAATAAATAAATGTTACCAATTATTTTAATATTTGATACAAATTACAGCCATCCTACTTACAATGTGTTCACATTTTTAAGAATTCTGAAGATTGATTTAAGACCTTTTAAAAGGCAGGGGTGCTCAACCAGTCTATCGCGATCGACCAGTAGCTCGTTGGCTGGTTCCCAGTAGCTCAAGGAGCACAACCTTCCTCTAACAGCTGAGAGCAACAGTTGCGCTCCGGCCGGGACTCATGTCTGCTCGCTGAGCTCTCCGGCAGAAGCGGTGGAGGCGGGAGGAGTTTACATTCCAGCCTTGAACACGCTCCCTCCACCCTCCCCAGCACAGCTGAGAGCCGGCTCGTCAGCTCCGCTCACAGACGTAGTCTCATGAGTTTTAGGTGTGATGAAACAGCACTCCGAACACGGTCTCGCGAGACTTTAGGGTCACGTGTTCACAACAAAGCAGAGAGGTGGAAAAAAATGAACGAAAGACAGCTAACAAGCAAAGAAAAACTTATTATTTTCATCTGGAGTGGGAAGAGGACTCATATGTAATTCGAGCGCTGCCTTGGCTTGTCCAAAAAGGATAACGTGGAACTGCATTTCTTTCAAAACAATGCACCGACGCTATGAGATGGATTCCCCCTCCTAAGCTAAGGTGAGGCTGCTAATGCAGCCCCGTCCATACCTGCCTCAACACAAAAAAAACACTGTGGAAAACATCTTTCAGCAATGACGAATTTATGAAAGAAGCGTTTGATGCTGCAGACGTGTTTTTCTGTGATTTTAAAAATAAAAGTGGCTGCTATAAGACGTGCAGCTGTCCACCAGGACGGATGGATGTGTCCAGATTTGTGTTTCAGCTGGACTGCTCCAGTGTTGAAAATGAGGTTCTGACTCTGCAAAATGTCATTGGGATCAAATCCAGAGCAACAAGTGGCATGGATGGAGAGTTCTGGAGTCTGCTTTCTCTCACATGAAAATCATAAAATCCAAGAACAGATCCACAAAGACTGGTGATCATCTGGAGACCTGCTTACACCTCAACCACCTCATACTGYCTGCCTATGAGACCCTGGCCTCCTCTCAGTGTCAGAAGTCCCACTAAGGTAGACATACATTTATTTTTATATTGCTTGCATAAAAGGTTGTCTCCTCTAGACTTGTCACAATGTGTCTGTATGTTGTTTTTATTACATTTTAGATCAGACTAGTGTGTTACACTGACTGGCACCTTTGTGTTATTTATTTATTTAGTTTGTTTTGCAGTTGTTTTCTCTACCTAACATGGCTGTGTGTGTGTGTGTGTGTGTGTGTGTGTGTGTGTG